GTGTGTGTGTGTGTGTGTGTGTGTGTGTATGCGCGCGTGTGCGTGTATGTACGTGTGTGTGTGTGTGTGTGTGTGTGTGTATGCGCGCGTGTGCGTGTATGTACGTGTGGGTATGTGTATGCGCGCGAGTGCGTGTGGTTGTACGTGTGTGTGTGTGTGTATATGCGCGCGAGTGCGTGTATGTACGTGTGTGTGTGTGTGTATGCGCGCGTGTGTGTGTATGCGCGCGTGTGCGTGTATGTACGTGTGTGTGTGTGCGCGCGCGTGCGCGTGCGTGTGCGTGTGTAACAGATACCCCGAGCAGTGGGTTGGAGTGTGCGGGACCGTGTTTGTTTAGCTCAGACTATGTACTTATTTTATGCGCGCGATAATTCCGACAAGGTCTCATGCTCCCGCGTTCCCATGGGGAGGGAGCGAGCGCCGAGAGAGGTGGCGAGAGAGGGACGAGAGTAGAGCTAGCGAGGGGGAGAAACAGGGGAAACAAAAATAGAGTAGAGGGAGGGAGAGATAGGGGGAGAAGGGGGAACGAAAAGCAAAGTACGAAATAGAAAGCGAGAAAGGAAGAAACACCAGCTGATGAGAGAGGGGGAGAGAGCGAGAGAGAGACAGAGAGAGAGAGAGCGAGAGAGAGAGAGAGACAGAGAGACAGAGAGAGAGAGAGAGAGAGAGAGAGACAGAGAGATAGAGAGAGAGAAAGAAAGCGCGAACGAGCAAGAGAGAGAGAGAGAGAGCGCAAGAGAGAGAGAGCGACAGAGAAAGAGAGAGTCCAGTACACGTGATAATAAGTGGTCGTACACACTTCATTACATTATAGAGAGAGAGCGAACGCGCAGCATGTGATTATATATATAGGACAGTACAGGGTGGAGAACGGACTATGTCTGCCCTGTGGCTCATAGCTATGCTATTATGTTTAACTGTAAAGGTATTTGAGTCGGTCCCGTTGCGACGTGGTTGCTATTGGCCGTAATATAATTAACGGTCGACGTGTGTGGGTGTTCTACTATATTCAACCCCCTTTTCTGATGCTCGGCAAAACAGAATTTATTATCCGTGATCTAATAATGGTGGACGTCCCGCTGCATTCATGCACGTAAACGAATGTTTGCACGATTAATTATTTTACGTCTGTGATTGTGTATACGCAAAGAAATATTCACAGTCACGAAGTTACGATCTATACACCTCAAAGGTCGTGACGTCACGCTAAATGTGTCATCAAACAAAAGGACTGTTAACTATTGAAACTATGAAGATGGAGACTTGACGCTTTCAAGGGCCGTTATTTCGTAGAATTCTGGTGACCTGCGGGCCGACGTTACTGAGCGACCGTGCGATTGATTGTCAGTAAACCCACATTTCTGCACTTTTCAAGGTTACCTAAATCCTGGTTTTGTCACCCCGGCGGGCAATTTTTTTTTAATTTCGACTTCTACTATTTGTCACCGCCGCGGCCTTTGTGTGACGTGCGTCTGGGTGACACTGGTGTGTGACACTCCGTGCGACATGTCGCCAGCATCATCCATGACCGCCGACCCACGCCACAGTGTCGCCGATAATAACATTCAAGGTTTATGCTTTCCGTCTGAAAGCGAAATCACTATTCTTAAAGTTTTCGAAATGGACTTTACGCGATCCAGGGTCACCGAGAAATCTCGAATCCATTAGTAAACCTCCATACGGTCGGCAGTCACTCGGGTCATTGTTAATTATATAGACGCAGTTCACGCGTTTACCGAGTAAATTTCATGAATGAAACGTCGAAGGCGAAAATCGTTCGAAATGCACTCGATAATTTACGAAAGTTAACTGTTCAATGTCGGCACCATTGAATCAGCCGGCCGCTAATTGGCTGCGGGTCATCCGCGCCGAGTGACGTCACGCCGCGAGAATAGATCACAGCGGTGCGCCGGCGAAAACGATATACGCGTCACTCTCCAAGTTTCTCGGGTGAATTCAATCGCCACGAGCAAGCGCAATATGGGTATAAAGGCAGACGTGCACACCAGCACCAGGAGCGCATGGCTATAACGTCTCACGCGCGACGCCGCGTGGAATGCTTGAGCGTTAACCTGATGGGCGATGAAAACGGGTCATTATTCCACAGGTGGGCCGGCCACTAATAACACTTTGCCGCCGCGATCGTTTAACACGCACCACTCCTGCCGTGCCTACACACGCACACTTGTGTGTGCGTGTAGTGTGTGTGCGTGTGTAGTGTGTGTGCGTGTAGTGTGTGTGTGCGTGTAGTGTGTGTGCGTGTGTAGTGTGTGTGCGCGTGTGTAATGTGTGTGCGTGTGTAGTGTGTGTGTGTAGTGTGTGTGCGTGTGTAGTGTGTGTGCGCGTGTGTAAGTGTGTGTGCGTGGTGTGTGTGTGTGTAATGTGTGTTGTGGTGCGTGGTAGTGGTTGTGTGCGTGTGTATTGTGTGCGTGTAGTGGTGTGTGCGTGTGTAGTGTGTGCGTGTAGTGTGCTGTGTGCGTGTGTACGTGTGTGTGCGTGTGTGGTGTGTGTGCGTGTGTAGTGTGTGTGTGCGTGTGTAGTGTGTGTGCGTGTGTAGTGGTGTGTGCTTGTGCGCGTGGTAGTGTGGTGTGCGTGTGAGTTGTGCTTGCGCCGTGTAGTTTGTGTGCGTGTGTATGTGTGTGTGTGGTTTGTGGTTGTGTGTGGTGTGTGTGTAGTGTGGTGTCGTTGCGCGGTGTAGTTTGTGTGCGTGTGTAGTGTGTAGTGTGTGTGCGTGTGTGTGTGTGTGCGTGTGATTAGTGTGTGCGCGTGTGTAAGTGTGTGTGCGTGTGTAGTGTGTGTGGCTGTGTGTAGCGTGTGTGTGCGTGTGTAGTGTTGTGCGTGTCTGAGTGTGTGTGTAATGTGTGTGCGTGTGTAGGTTGTTGTTGCGGTGGTGTGTTTTAGTGTGTGTCGTCGGTGTATGTTGTGCGTGTGGTAGTGTTGGTGTGCGTGGTGTATTGTGTGTGCGTATGTTGTGTTGTAGTGTGTGGGTGAGTGCGTGTGTAGTGGTGTGCGGTGGTAGTGTGTGGCGTTGTGGTAGTGGTGTGTGTGCGTGTAGTGTGGTGTGTGCGTGTGAGTGAGTGCGGTGTGTAGTGTGTGCGTGTAGTAGTGTGGTGCGTGTGTAGTGTGGTGTGTGTGTGGTGAATGTGTGTGCGTGGTAGTGTGTGCCGCGCGTGTAGTGTGTGTGTGCTGTGTGGCGTGTTGTGTGTGTGCCCGTGTAGTGTGTGGTGCTGTGTGTAGTGTGTGGTGCCGTCGTGTAGTGTGTGTGCGTGTGTAGTGGTGTGTGTGTGCGTGTGTAGTGGTGTGTGTGTAGTGTGTTGTGCGTGTGTTAAGTTGTGTGTGCGTCGGTAGTGTGTTGTGCGCGTGTAGTGTGTGTGCGTGTGTAGTGTTGTGCGGTGCACGGTGTAGTTTGTGTGCGTGTGTAGTGTGTGTGGTGTGTGTGTGTGTGTGTGTGTGTGTGTGTGTGTGTTGTGTTGTGTGTGTAGTGTGTGTGCGACGCGTGTAGTGTTGTGCGTGAGTGTAGTTGTGTGCGTGTTAGTGTGTGTGCGTGTGTACGTGGTGTGCGTGTAGTGTGTCGGTGCGTGTGTAGTGTGTTCGCGGGCATGTGTAGTGTGGTTGCGTGTGTTGTGTGATTTATAACTGGTATTGCGCGCACGCGTAAGTTCTGCCCGCGTACTGAAGGCGTGGATAAATGTAACCCCGCCTGAATTAGGAGAGAGACGAGAAGCGAGAGAGGAGGGAGAGAGTGAGAGAGAAGAGAGGAGAGAGAGAGAGAGAGAGAGAGAGGACAGAGCGCGCGCGAGAGAGAGAGGGATAGAGCGACAGAGAGAGTGAGAGGGAGATGAGAGAAGAGAGGGCGCGCGAGAGAGAGCGAGAGAGAGGGAGAGAGAGAGGCGCGCAGAAGAGAAGAGAAGAGGAAGAGAGAGAAAGAGAGAGAGAGCGTGCACGTGAAAGAGAGAGAGAGAGAGAGAGAGAGAGAGAGAGAGAGAGAGAGAGAGAGAGAGAGAGAGAGAGAGAGAGAGAGAGAGAGAGAGGGAGAGATGTCAGAGCCAGCGTTCTTACGATCAATGTCTCTACAACATCGAGCGTTCTCTGTGTCTTACACTTACGCCCTTGACAAACACGTATTACGCACCACGGTGGGTATTTGAATCTTGTAGTGAAGGTGATTTATAGCTAAACGGAGCAGTGAATAAATTACGATAAAAAATTAAGATACTACTCCTAAATCAACATATCATTACCTCGATGGACTTCAAAATTTATGGTCTTAAAATTATTATGGTACACTTGTCAGTCCGCGAAGAAGAGCGGCGAACGGCATGCACGTTGAAACAGATTACAGTATGTTGGTCTGACATGTTCATATACTTGTAAGTTGTCTGTTGCCATGAGAGTTGGTTATGGAAATTCACGGACGTTCTACCATTATGTGATGTGGACTATATATATATATATATATACTGTGTGCACGTGAAGTTTGCCGGAAGGCACGGCCAACGTTTAGCCTGCGTTCCCACTGCTATCTATTGTAAAGGTTTGACTGGCGTCTCGTCGATTTTTTTCACATCTCTTCAATAGCGAGAAAGGCGAATAAAAATGGAGGAATAGAGAGAGAAAGAGAGAGAGAGATGAAGAAACAGAGAGATAGAGAGACAACGACAGCGAGAATGTGTCTGAGGAGGCGAGTGACGAGTGAGAATGAAGTGAATGAATGAAGATTAGTGTTACAACCTATAGTCAAAACGTAACAACGCACAAAGGCATCGCTGCAATAATCTAATCCGTTTAATAAACACATACGTTCAAATATGAATTGTCAATACCGGTGCTAATTTACCCTTTATTGCATTTCCACTGAAATATTATTTACCCATTAGTTTACTTTCGTTGTTACATTGTGTTTACTCTCGAGAGTATAGAGTCGAATGTTCCACGAAGTTCTTTCTTCTCGAAATGCATCTAAGGCGAGCGTGCGAAAGCTTGCTTGAATTACGCTGACCCAAAAACAGAACTTCGCATTGTAATCGTGTTATTTCTGCAGGTTTTCAGTATTAATCACATTGCTGCTGCAAATGGTCACTTGGCCAGGTTACGTCGGCGTACCCTGCTCGCTACGCGCCTTCACGCACACGTGTGAGACGCATCGAGCGGCCGCTGCCGTGCTCAGGGTATGAGGCTACATCGCCTCCGCGTGACCCGCTCCACTACATCAACGTTCGCGGCCAGAAGAAAATATTTCCACTGGTCCTACCAACCCACAGTGGCTTCGTGGGTCAACCAAAACAACCGCTCTGTTGAGTGTCTGTAATATGTTTACACACACACATATATATATATATATATATATATATATACGTTGTATTATCGTAAGATGTCTTCAGAGCCAGATTCGCGTTGCAGTTTGCCGCTACGCGTGAGGCTGCTTGCTGTTGGGCGGCAATGCACCAGGAAATCATAGCTGACTGGGATTCGTCCCGTAACGAAGGCTGGATCATCTCCGCTAGCGTATATAGGAGTTGCTGCTCCGCTCTGAATTAGCCGAAACTCTCTCGTGGTTTTTCGACTAAACTGTCTGTTTGTTAGAGTTGTTTTTCCAATGTTTCGCATTCCGCAGACAAGTTTGTCCAGTCGGTGTGGCCCGAAGCTACGCTTGTGCATCGCTGCTGTACATGTAGCCTGCCTACCCTACCATGCTGTCCCTTACCGCGCCAAGGCCATAAGCCTACTTTCTTACTTTGCGAGAGAGAGGATACCAGAGACTGAATGATTCTTCGTTTTATAGTGCCGGCGATTGGAATGTTCGTAAGAACGCGTTATCGGTATCTACTTAAAATGCTCATAAGTCTTCATAAATGATTTATGAAACAAAACAAGAAGTAATCGCTCATCGGGGCATGCGGCCAATAATAAGGTGCTCCCCCACACACACACACGCGCACGCACGCACGCACGCACGCACGCACGCACGCACGCACGCACACTGGCGTCGGCGCCCTAACGCCTGTATGGAAACTTGGTATTTCATATCACTGTTGTAGATCCCCGTCACACACAACGCGCACGCACACGCACACACACACGCACACGCACACACACACACACACACACACACACACACACACACACATGCGCACACGTGCACACACGCGCATGCACACACACGCGCACACGTACGCACGCGCATGCACACACATTCGAGCGCGCACGCGTGTACATGCGCGCGCACACACGCACAGATATATGCATACATACACAAATACACATACATGCACCGAACACACGTTTAAAAGAACAAAATAGCAAATAAACGCATATACGCACGAACACACACGCGCGCACGCGCGCACGCACGCGCGCAGGCGTACACACATCCACACCACGCACCTGGCACGAACACACGTGACAGAGGCAGCGACACGAGCTAACAC